AATCAATCAATCAATCAATCAATCAATCAATCAATCAATCAATCATCCTTCTGACTGATATACCCACACTTTGTTTAAAATCATGATTCTTAATTTTGGATTTTCCTTTAAGCCTTCTAAATGATTGTGAGCACTATGAATGTTTTAAAGCAGGAGGGTAGATTTTTTTGGTAGATTTAGTTGCAGCCAGTAGCATACAATGACATCTACAGTATCACTTAATACAAATAGGATTAAATGACTAAATCAAATGACTAAAGATGTTGTGATTCATTGTTTAAGATTGATTTCCTCAATCTCTATGTACGTCACAGTCCTGTTATAGTAAAAAGTTACTATAAAATGCAAATAAAATTGATCTGGGGTTAACTTCCTACAGCCAATCTCAGTCTTCCTTGTGTATATGTTTCCTGCAACTGATACAGTCAGTACCAAGGATTAACTAAGCAGCTGTTATGCTTCCTATGGTGTAAACTTTTTCTTTTTCTTAAATAGAGATCCACTTCATCTGTGCTCTTTCCTTAGTATCTTTCCTAATCTGATTTCAGGGGTTTTATTGGTAGACTTACAGCTATATCTTCTCTTACTTTTTTTTCCACAATATTGTAGTCTCTTTTCCCATGATTTATATACCCATTCCTATCCCTCCCCCAAAGTCTTTTCTGTATTGCCTACTTTTTTTTTAGCAGTTTTTCCTCACTGAACTTACTTTTTCTTGGCTGTCTAGGAAGATCTAAGTTATGGTATAATGCACTTCATGGATTAAATATATGAACACCTTATCTGTGGCAAGAAAGTAAAATCTTTTCCAGGATAATGAAAATGTAAGCACGAGTTCATTCATGCCACAAGTGTAAAACTCTATTGTTTTATGTTGATTTTGTCTCAAACTAAGTTTATACAATTTTTTTTTGAGAAAAAGTAAAGACTAAACTAAGAACTAAACTATTTCCTGTACAAAGCAATTGTAAAGTTGGTTGTTCAACTGCAGAATGTGCCTCTTATTTCAGTATGACTTTTTTCTTCCCTTCATATAGCAATCAATTTCTAGCTGATGACTTCCTAGTATGACTACAATTTTCTGAGACTGTAAACTGAGTGGTTTCTGTACTGAAATGTTCAAGTCCACCTTCTACATGCAATTGTTCCATCCATCCACCCTCTCCCATCTCACTGTCATTGCCCTGTTATTATTTCACATCGTACAGTATTTGTTAACTACTGTCCCTTTGATTTGAACCCTGAGGTTCTTCGTCTCCTTTCATTATTATTAAGCGGCATCAATATTTTATATATCAAGGACAGGACTGGAAAACAATACTAACTCTGTCCTGTTGGCTCCTTCTCTACCTGAAATGTTTCCATCTGATCATATAAGAATTCTCTAACTATTAAGAAGTGGTACCTGAGTTTACTTTTTTCCTTCTTCCTCTCTATTCCCTTTTCTTTGTATCACTTCTTTTGGATTGGAAGCCTCGAGAATTTTTTAAAAAATTTTTATAAGATGCTCAGAGAGTGTTTTGGGCAAAAGAATGAGGTAAAAATACTTTAAATAACTGTTTCTCTATTGATTGCTATGTCCAACATGATCCTGGCCTTTGGAATTTTTGAGATTACTTTGTTATATTCCAAAGAATATAATAATATAATAATCTGCTAATAGTGATTAGCTTTGTTAAATACTCAGTACTACAGTACATAATTTCTGTATTTACACATGAAAAGCAGATTTATTCATCAGCACCAGAAATTATAAAATCCCTCCTCTACAAAATCTTATCATCAAACTATGTATTGTGGTGCTCAATACATTTTGAGCTGGTATTGTTCCTCTGATGCAGAATATAAAATGGAAAACATCAACTTACACAACCTTTCCATTCTATCTGTCACTTCTGAATTTTTTAAAAACAGAATCAATTGGGACAAACCCAGATTATTTATCATTTATTTTGCTAATAGCATTATCATCTCTCTTTAATGTGGGATTACGCTGGGATACAGGCCCAGTTTTAATATTACACTGCTGTGTTGTGAAAAAGCTCATGATCAAGAGATGACCAGCTTTACTATCTCTGCGTTGGAACATAATGACCAGCTTTGTATACTTTTTTTGCCTTTTCTGGCAAGCTTATATATGGAAGATGCATCACTTCTGTCTTCAGTTTCCACAACAGTTTGTTGCAACAAAAATAACAAGGAGTCTTATGGCTTTTAAAAAGCCAACACGTTTCTTGCAGCAAAATTCTCAAGGTCCAATTTGCTAGTTGTTAAATACTCTTTTTGGCATGCCTGGATAGAGTGCCTGAAAAAAGAGTAATTTACTCAATTAATTATTAAGTCTGGTCCAGTCAGTCATGTGGGATTAGGATTGGAGAGAGCCAGGTTCAGATTTCTACAAAACCATTAAGATTTTGGGTGTCTTTGGGCCAGCTGCCATCTTTCAACATAACCTATCTCATAGGCCTGTTGTGAAGAGGGTGAGCAAGTAGGTGAGTGCATGGGAAAAATCCTTTGTATGCTACTTTCAACTCCTTGGAAGAAAAGTAGAATGTATACTAAATAAACCTGGAGGAATCCTGCATTGTGGGAAAATTTAAATGGAAAACAGGCTGTTCTATTCAAACCCCTCTTCCTCGGTAGGGAACTCCTAACTTGACAAGGCTGAAGTAGGTCGCACATCTTTCTGAAGTATTGAGAAAGGACTCTAAGCTTAGTCCAACCATTTTATCGTCTGCGGTCGTGATGCCAAACAAGATTCTGCTCCCTGATATAGGGATATATGTGGGAAGGAAGTGGGGAGGGGGCATGTGGAAAAGTTGAATCCCAGTTTCTCTGAGACACGGGACTGCCAGTTACTTTCTTGGGAAAAGACCTGATTTCTAACGTGGAATTTAGCTGAAACCCTTGCGGGTGCATGGAAACAAATCATTAACGAGGGCTCCTTCTTCCTTGGAGGCTTTGCTCCGGACAGGTCCGCACAAAGTGAAAGACTGACCGCCGACTCGTCCTTCCATGTTGAGTTAAGTGGAGCCCGGTCCAAATCCCCAACAAGAGACTCCCCCCCACATTTTCTTGTGGGACCACCAGGTCCCATTCTTTTCTCCAGAGGGACAGTTTTCGCGGAACGGAGAGCGAGCCCCGAACGCGCGGCGGTTCTTCGAGCCCTTCCTTTCAGGCAGGGGAAAGAAAAAACAGTCACTTTCTTCTTTCCAGCTCACTCTTTCCTATGGACCTGCCCTACGCGCCGGGCCCTCTCCTGCTCGCTTGCCAGCCCTGGCGCGCTCGGGGCAGGGCAAGGCCCAAGCG